CACAAAAGCCATACCAGATGTTGATGGAGATATTAGCACAGGCAAGCCGAGCAACACCTATATGCTCACAGTATGTGTGGGGAAGGATGCGTGTCTGGCAGAAAGGTAGGCGTGTTAGCAAGAACACATCTGGCAAAATGATGCAGAAGCTTCTGAAAGAGATGCCTACAATAATTTTCAAGATGGTCTTTGAGGTCAAGATGGTGGTGTATCTCAAGGGGGAGCAGATGGCCACATAGCGGTCAAACGCCATGGCCATCAAGATGGCTGAATCCAGGACAAAGCTGTAGTGAAGGAAGAACATTTGTGTAAGGCATCCTGGGAAGGTAATTTCATGAGCCCTAAGCCAAAAGATACTGAGTGTTTTAGGCACACCAGCTGTCGACAAGATTAGGTCAGTCATGGCCAGCATGGAGAGAAAGAAGAACATAGGTTCATGAAGGCTGCGCTCCACTGCAATGAGGTAGAGAAGGATGCAGTTTCCAGCCACAGCCACAAGGTAGATGACACAGAAAGGAATCCCAATCCACATATGGAATTTCTCCAGGCCTGGGATGCCCACTAGAATGAAGGGTCCTGGGTGATAACTGCTCAGGTTGAAAATGACCATTGCAAACTGGGATGGCACAAGTCCAAAATCCTGAGGAAAGAGGATTATAGAGGATAATTAGGGTCACTTGAGTCACTCTCGCTTTGAATAATCCATCATTATAAACCCTCCAAGATAAAGTAACCACATAACTTATCATTGAAAATGGTAGACACTTGAGAATGAAAAAAAAATCTTCAGATTAACAATGATGGCAGGTAACAGACATAAACCAGGATTCATTCCACATAAAGAGAATCTTTCCTTTAGTGTGACCAAACCCACTGGTTACACAGCTTCTTCTGGAAGCTTTCTACACTGGCAACTGTCACCTTTTTTCATTATAAACTGTCCCTGGATACAAATTAACAAAATATAAGACACTTTTTCCATAGGTTGATAGATTATAGTATTTATGCTTTTATGGTCATTGTTGGAAAAGACTGGCTTTGTCATTGTGGAATACTCATCTCTGCCCCAAGTTTTAAAGCCACCCCACAAGTACTTACTGCATTCCAGGTTACCTGTGACAGTGGCTCTTAGATTTGTGAGCTCCACACAACTTTACTGACATTCAAAAACCTAATTACATGAAAGAAACTCTAACTGGATCCCCACAGTATGCTAGGTGTCACTTGTAACTCAAACATGATACAGCAATCTACAGCTGAGACTCATATGATCTCGCTCCTCCAAAGAAATCATTTCCATCACCAAAGATTATAGGCTTATAATATCCTAATACTTTAAATATAGTAACATGATCAGTCAAGATTTCCATCTAAAAATAGCATTGTTTCTTTATAAACATATATTCTCTTAGATAGCATCATAGAACTTAAGATACATAATCTTTTAGATGTTGTTGTTGTTGTTGTTATGTGCCGTTGAGTCGGACCCGATTCCTAGGGACCCCTCCTTGGGTTTCTGAGGCAGTATCACTATGGAAATAGATTGCCCCATCTTCCTTCCGAGGAGTGGCTGGTGACTTTGAACTGCCAGCCTTCTGGTTAGCAGTCAAGTGCCTTAGGCACTACGCTACCAGAGCCAACACTTAAAACTATAATCTTAAACATGTCATGACTGACACTAACATTCTTTCATGCATTCTATCCAGATATAATTTTACACAAACATGAAGTGCCCCTGCCACTCTCTCTCTCTTCCTATCTGTCTGAGGCGTGCACACACACACACACACACACACACACACACACATGCTTGTGTGGGTGCAGAGGACAGAGACCACAGGAGGATAGGAAGAGTTCATGACTGGATTGGGCACTGCCACATGCTTTGTGAATTCTCAAAATAACTTTCTCCTTAAAGGAGATTTAAAGGAATCTCTCCTTTAAATGCAAAGCCCTACATTTGCTCTCTTCTCTAGTAATATCCCTACGGTGCTTACATAGAAAGATATCAATACTGTACAGATAACCATATAGTGCAGCCAGGGATTCCCAGTATCAGCACTAAGATGAGACACACGATGGTCCTATACTTCAGAATGGGAGCTCTGGTAGTATAGTGCCTAAGGTGTTTGACTGCTAAAAGAAGGCTGGCATCAAACCCACCAGCCACTCCTCAGAAGGAAGATGGGGCAATCTACTTCTGTAGTGATACTGCCTCAGAAACCCAAGGAGAGGTCGCTATGAGTCAGGTCTGACTTGACGGCACATAACAATAACAACATACTTCAGATTCTTAGCTTGACAAGACCAAAAATCACCGTCAACCTTATCGCCTCTCCCATATTCCCCTTTTATTCAATTTTAAATTCAGCTCACAATACCTTCTATCACACAGACCAAGGTTCAGTTTCTCTTCCCTTATGCATATGGCAAAAATTAAAAAGGATTTTCTTTTTTTTCTGGAGCTTTCCCTCATCTATAACTAAAAGCACACTTTTTGTATAGGGTCTCCACATTTCACATGTTCCAGATCATAGGGGGCACAGTGCTCAGACACAGTCTGAAATTCCATAGCCCAACTTCTGCATCTGCTGAGTATTTGTCTTTCCATGTTCATGTAGCTTCTTTTCAGTGCTCTTATCCTAAGGGGACCAGGAACTAATTTCTTACCAGCATTGAAGACCTTATGGGGCTGTTCAGCCTTCATTTGAAAACCCGTCTCATGTACTACTCACACATTCAACAATATATATCATTCAGCATTCTGAAACAATAAACTTTGAATCAGTTTTTTAGTTTATGGGAGGTCATTCCTTATTCACACATATGTCAGAGAAGGTCTTCTGTCAATTTCATGTTTCCTTGCAAGCAGATACAAAAGATGTTTATATAAATACCCAAAAGTATTCATATATACACATGAGCTGGCATGTACAAAAGAAATGATCAGGCTTGTCACTCTACAATTAGACAAATCCACTATGCAAGGCATGACTACAAGTTAATCAGTGTGGTTTTTGAACAAGTCAATATCATCAAAGAGAAAGAAGGTGTGGGTATTAGGTAAAGGAAATACCTTTCTAGATTAAAATAAATTTAAGAGATGTAACAAACAAATGCAGTGCAGATTGGATCCTGTTTAACAAACCTGGAATAAAAGACAACGAATGAATAATTAAGGAAATTTAAATTAAAAATAAATGTAATGTAATATAAAGAATTACTGTTGGTTTTATTAGATATGATCATCATGTTATAGTAAGTAAGCACATACATACACAGATGCCCATAGCGTATCTGGATAATATCTTGGTTCACAGTGTATTCTCTTCAATCAGAAAGGTAGGCACATTAATCCTGGTTCCAGACTTTAGTAACTAAGAATGTGAACAAGATAATTGAACTATCTGAACCTCAAGTTCCTCATTTGTGAAACGAACATAAAAACACTACTTCTTACAGTTATTTTTTATGATAAAATAAGACATGCCCCCAAACCAGTCTTTATTGCAGTGCCTGGCGCATAGTAAGCTTGCATGAAGTGTTATGAATTGTTACCAGATTATGTTTTATGTCATCCTTCTTATCATTATCAGTCAGACTATACAGTGAAGAAGAGAATCTAGGCAGAAACCGATGGACACTAAAATTGACAAGAGCATACACTCATACCCACACGCTTAACTCTACATTTGTGTTAGGGCTATGGGCCTTGTTGGGGTTCTGTCACATGTCTGACACAGAAATTGCCTGGACAACACTAGCCATGGCTATGGCTTAACCCACTAGTATATTTGTCCGTCTCTTTTATTCCTTTGCTGATAATTCAATGGAATATTAACCCATGGATCAGAGACCATGAGCTTCTTTGATAAATGGGAATTTCTCAGAGAAGAAAGTGATCAGTTCTTGGTCCCTCAAAGATGAAGCTCTGGGCTCGTCAAACATTTCTTCTTCTCTCCAAATCCTAGTCCAAAGCAAATCTCTTCAAGCAGTCAGTACTCACCTAATACTGGTGACCAGATCAAAGGGAAAGAAAGAAGATTGTCCTGAAAGATTCACAGCAAACATACAAAAGGAGTAGACACATCAACCAAAGAAATGGTGGAGAGGAAAGGTAGGCACTGATGGATTGGTTCCCTCTCCCTTTATTTCCTCCAGACATTGCTTAGTATGGAGAAGAGGTGGTAGTTAGCACCTGGAAGACTCTGAAGGACTCTTTTCTCACTCTCTGGGGAAGAAATAAAGTTACTTCAATTAACCCTGCCCAGGACTGTGAATTATTACTGCTTCAGGATGCGTTTTTGCTTTTGTTAGTGTTCCGATGCACATGAGTACAATTAAGACTCTGTGTGTAATATGTGTGCCTATTAGAACAGATAGGTTCAAATTCACATACTTATCTGTTGGAGACCAAGAAAGAAATTATCAAAGGACATGAGTGCCAGGCACATGCCCAATAGCTACAAGAGAAGGCAAGGCCTCTCTCATGGTTGAATGCTTACTTGGCAGAACATCACGTGTCAAGAGTAAATGTTATTCCAATAATCCATGTTTGCTATTTTGTTGGAACATTTCACTGTGGCCTAGTAAACATTTATTGTTTTACATTCATTGTTCCTATAGAAGCTTTTGATGATTGTTTTAGTAAACTTGGACATGTAGATGAGTAAAACTAAGTAGAAAATAGTTGATTGTATAGATTCCAAGAATAATGATATAATCATGTGTAAATGGATAAATAAAGCGGAACAAGGCTCCACATAATACATGGAGTGTCCACCTGACCCCCGTTTCTCTTAATCATTTCATCCTTTCATGTGGCTCTATTTAATGACCTGTGCTGCTGTGCTGTACACGGCACTTATCAGATAAAGGATTTTGGAAAAGTTACCTAGACTCTATAAAAAGGTGGTTTTTTAATACTTTTCATAGTTGCTCTGGTGGCACACTGCTAAGGCATTTGACTGCTAACCAGAAGATTGGTGGTTCAAACCCACCAGCCACTCCATGACAGGAAGATGGGGCAATCTACTTCCCTAAAGATTTTCCACCTCGGAAACCCAATGGGGGTTGCTATGAGTTCGAATCGAATCTATGGCAGTGAGTTAGGTTTTTTAGTTTATAGTTATCATAAACCAAAATCAGGCACACTGCCATCAAGTCAATTCCAACTCGTAGTAACAGGGGGATAGGACAGAGTAGTACTGCCTCACTGGGTTTCCAAGGTTGTAAATCTTTACAGAAGCAGATTACCTCATCTTTCTTCCTTGGAGTGGCTGGTGAGTTCAAACTGCAGACTTTCTGGCTAGAGCAGAATCTTTTAACCACTATGCCACAAGAGTTCTTATAGTTATCATAAGAATTGGCATATTAAGTAAGACAACTCTTGGGAAAATGCTTAACGTAGTGGCTGACATAGTTCAAATCATGTTTTTCCATATGTTGCCCAGTTCCACCTAACTCATAGGAACATAGGGCTGCTCTTAGGAGCCTTGATGTCACAATAGGTAAAGAGCTTGGCTGCTAACTAAAATGTCAGTGGTTTGAAGTCACTACCCAGCTGAAAGATGAATCTGTCTGCTTCTGGGAAGATATACAGCCTTGGAA